CAGGAATGAATTTTACAATGCTCTGAAGCAGAAGATATCCACAAACATCTCAACTGATCCTGCCAACTCCAGCTCGTGCATTTCTTCTTCCAATGAGGAAAAGGCCAACAGTTCTAAGGAGCAGGTAGCTAGTGACCCTTCTAGCCGACATACTGCAAACGGTGTAGAAGCGACTGAAAAAGATAACATCATTGAAAGGATCCGGATTTTGTCTCAGGTGGGAGAGAGGTCTATGAGGTTTGAAGCAGCAGACACTCCTGATGAAAAAGAGGCCGAGTTTCTGAGATCCCTAGGATGGGATGAAAACAATTGCGAGGACGAAGCCCTTACCCAGGAGGAAATCAGTGCCTTCATCGAACGGGTAAAAACCGGAACACTCTTCTCCGATGTCGTTTGTCTCTTATCATATCCAAACTCTGCAGCTAAAGGTTCTTACTCTCGACTCTTCCACAGTACAAGAAGCTTGAACCATCACTGCTGCAGAAGCTATCCATTATACAGCAAGAAACACAGGACATAACTTCCACAGCGGACTCGTGAATCACGCTGTTGGATTCATTCCTCTATGGAAGATAAATTTCCTTCCCTTGGTTTGTTCTTTCTTTTTGTTCTTGTTTTCTTTTAGTTCTGAGAAAAGATGGCGACTTTGGCGGCATGGAAGAAGAAAAAGGGGCAGGACTTTTGCAAGTAAGAGGTGTGGGGTTTGGGTATTGCCGTACGGAGTCCTGCCTCTGTGGGTGGAAAAGGTTTGACTTTTTTAGGTCTTTTGGTCTCTGAAGCTGCAATGTTTTGCATCTTCCTTGGGGTTCTCTAATGTTTTGAGATATATGTGGGGGAAGATGCCTACGTGTCGTTTTATTGATTAGATGATGAAAGAGAGGGAAAAGAATGAACTATTTTGTTTTTTTTTTACGCTCTTTTTTGGGTGTAATCATTTGATATATTCTATTATTATTTCGTTCTTATTTATCATTGAGCACTCTGTGTGAATCTGTCATTTTTGTTTCTATCCAATTGGGTAATGAAACTATTGATGGAATAGACGGTTACGTTGGATAATGGTACAATGAATTCGTATGTAACTGAATGAAAGAAAGGGCTAGGTATTGGTGGTATATTGTTTTCTTGGCTATTTTAGTGTTTTGCAATCAAACGAATAACTCACTGTTGTAACTTTCGGTTTGAATGGAAATAGGTTTTGGAATTTTTAAAATTAAAAAACAAACAAAAAAATTGATTAACCGTTGAAACGGTCCATTTGTTTAGATTTACAAAACTAACAAAACAAAAACTAGAAACCTAAAACAAAAAATTTAAAATAAAAACTATCTAACATTCATAACCTTTGTTAACTCGAATTTGAAAACATAATTTAGAAGTATTTAGATGGATTTCAGAGTAAAAAAAACGTGTTGGAAATCAGTTTTTGACCGGACCATTATAAAAATATTTCCATATAGTATTTTGACTTCAACACATATCATTCCCTATCATTCCCCATGTATGATGATCAGAAGTATGATTTGGTTACATAGTATTTATATAAATCATAATATTAAATTTATGGTGATCAAACTAATTGATAATATTTATTTTTTACATATCAAACTAATTATTTGATAAAATAATTATAAATTAACGTTATTACCGATGCGACATGTGATCAGACTATAATTTTACTCATAGTTAAAGAACAGTATGGATTGAAGCAAAATACTGTATAAAGGCATTTTTTATATAATGATTTTTTGACTTAACCCAAGGAAAACAAACCGGTTAACTGTCGAAACGGTCCCCAAATGTAAATTCTGTAGATACAGAAACTGGATTGCATAATTTAGAGCTCAATTTACACTAGTGAAAATTCCAGGCTTTCACACACGTCCGAGGTTATGTAAAAAAAAAAACACGCCGAACGATAACAGAACTCGAAGCACATCACAAAGACATCGACAAAGTTTCGGGAACAAGAACTCCCAAAGGATATGAACATTTGCAAGTAGAATCACAAGTCCTTTCTACCCCACAAGCTTCGTGAGTTGTACATGGGCATGGACATGGACATGGCGCCTGTTTTTGGTCATTGACTTACTCCGGATGCGATGTCCAATACATTAGCCCGCTGCCCATAAAGAAAAAGATGTCATCCCACATCATAGCAGCAACACCGAGAGCATAACAAATAGAGTTCACTTGCAGTAATGGTAAAAAAAAAAACAAGATGTTTTTCAAGTGCATGCCGATGATAGGAATCTATATTCTTATGGGTTTTTTTAAAAGGGACATGGAAAAGATCCAAAACTGATATCAACTTTTTTGAACACTAGCAGAAACTAATGACGATTTAATCCCAAAGATCCAATGGAGCCATTACTAAAACTGACATCTCTACTGATTCTCATAAGATGTGTTGTGATGGCAAACTTAGCCTAAAAACAGAAGAAAGAAATCTGCTGCATAAGTTTCAGCATGGAATACTTAAACCCCAAAAAGACTACATCATTCACTATAGACGTTTTGGGTTATTTAAGTTGCTTTGTGTACATCATTCAAGTTTGTGGTTCTTTCATCATTCTCTGCCTCAAACCATAGCGTTCTGCCCATCACGAAAACACAAATACATGATGTCTAATACAAAAGCTCAAGCACCAAGAAACCTAGAAGGCTCAGAACACTTTGTATGAGACAGAAAAGGCAGGCTGTTACCTTATCAATACAAACACACATTGAAAGATTCCCGCAACACCAGTCCACGTGGACGGACCCGTCTTCACAAGCGAATCTTGTATCAGTAAGCCGACGGATGCCGCAAGGGAAACAAAAGCTACAACATATGCTATGAACAGCCATAGCTTCAATCTGTAGCAACAAGCAAGTCATTTGAAAAGATTAAGAATCAATGAACCCTAGTGGGTTTTAAATGTATCACACTAACGAGCAAAAACCCGAAGATTTTCGGCCAAAACTTGATTCATACAACAGGGGTTTCAATTAAACATATCTCATCTTTCCGGCTAAAACTTGATTTTATACAACAGGGGTTTCAATTAAACACATCTCATCTATATACTTGTTGATGCAGAAACGAGCAGACTCCAAACAAGAACTAACTAAGTTCTTCTCTCAATTCTACCATATGATCAACGAATTAACACGATGTTAACTAGCTTAAGCTAAGAGTTTTCACGAGGAAATCGAACAAATTCTATCGAAATCAATCGATTTCGATTCAACAGAGAAAAGCAATTAATTAAGCTAACCTCCACTCTCCTTCGTCATAAGGAGAGTAATCGATGTCCTCTTTCCTCACGCAATTGAACATCAAAGCCCCAAGAGACGCAAATATGCCTGCGATTCCCGAATAAAAAAAACCCAAATTGCCCGAATTACAAACCCTAATTCGCGAATCAGGATAGAAATCTCGCAAACAAACCAATTCATACCAGGGAGATAGTGGACGAACGGAACTTGGACGGAGCTGCAGACGACGGCGTCGACCCAGAACCACCATCCAGCTCCGAACACCGCTCCGGCGACTCCCGGTCCGAAAATCGCCCATAGCTCGACCAAATCCATGGTTCGATGAATCCTCTCTACTGGGTTTTCCTCGGAATCAACGAAAGATAATTATTCGAATCGTTGTCGATTTGCTATGCTCCTCTGCGTATTAGATGATGAAAAAAAAAACAAGAAATTTTTTCTTTTCCCTGACTCAAGATTCTCATCGATATCACCAGTGGCAATGATGTAATTCTCGTGACAAACTTGATCGGGGTACTACTAATCGTTTTGTTAATTATTTTTGTTCGACATCGTTAGTTACCATCACTAAGCCTCTTCTTTAGTCTTAGAGACGGGAATTTAAATTCGATTAATAATTGATTCTAAAACTAAATTCAAACTCGAATATTTTGATATTCAAATTAAATTATCCACGAAATAATTTTTGAATATCAATAAATTTAAATTAAACATATTTTGATTAAAAACTCATAAATATGTATATTACAAGCAAATAAGTTATAAGATTATTGAAAATTATTTATTTTCAAAATCCAAAATGCTCGAATATATGTTGTCCTTTCACTTTAGGTCTTCCGCGTTTAATGAATCTCATCAAAGCCAAATTCCTCGTCGTTTTGTTATTTGTTTTCTCCATTGATTTTTTTTTTTTTTAAATCTAATCAATTGATTTTTATTAATCTTTTTCTTGTGTCTCCATGGCCGAAACTATCGCTCGCAGTCGCAGTTGTCTTTTCATCCAAAATCTTACGTAACTTATTATATGAACATTTAACCAAAAAACAACTTATTATATGAAAAAAATTTACGGTCTTTTCGTAAATATTGTGGACCAACCACCATATAATTTACAACATGATCCTAGTAAACAAAATAATAATAAGAGGAATTATAAGGTTGGTCTCATAACTAGATACGTCCAACTACATGGTGCATATGAATCCCTATGAATTTCTTGAAATCATAAAAGCGTAAAATCTATACCAAAAAAAAAAGGAAATTTGAGCAAGGACACGAGAAACCACAAACTAATTAAGTTTCATTTTGAATTTGTACAGAATCCAATACAAAAAAAAAAACCTCATTTGATTTCTACGTTGATAAAGATCCCATGAAGACAAGATCTGCGGATGGACCAATCAAACAGATGTAATTAACTGCATCTGATGACGTGTCCTGTCCTGTATCTGCTGAATCTGCAAACTCCCGAGTTCCAAGCCACCGGATCTCCTCTTCCACAGATTCTCCGGCGGCGGCGCCTTTTCCTCGCCGTTTTGCTTCTTCTTCACCACCGGCAATGGCGGATCCATGTCCACGACGTCCAACACGAACCCTTTGTTCCTCTCATCGATCTTGGACCCTTTGCTTTTCTTCGCCGACTCTTGCGATCTTCTTGGAGTAATCTTGCTGGGTTTCGATAGAGTGAGGGAAAGGGTCGTGCCGGAGAAGAGGCGTCTGAGCTTGAAGTAATGGTTGTGGTTATGGCGTTTGGAGGTGGTGATTGCGAGCTTGGCGGCGGTCGGGAGGTTGGTGATCCTGTTGTTGCGCTTGACTTGGCCGATGCAGCTTATCTTTGGGGACAAAGGGTCGTCGTCTTCTTGATCTTGGAGGGAGAGGGACTGTGATTTTGGGATCGTCACGTTCTTTATCGACGGTCTTGAGCACAGCATTGGCAAGAACGCTGCCGTTTGGATTTGGAGGGTGCTCGTGTTCTTCTGTCTCCGCCCCATCTCTCGATCTTCCCCTTCGGCCAAGAAATCGCTTCCGAGAAAGAAGAAGAAACAAAATTTTGGGTTCGTGGCAGAATGACTTAAATTGCTCTACAATTTGTTCATATGTTGCTGTAAACTAGAAAAAGGGCTTTATTTCTTGTGTGTGTGTGTGTCTGTGTGAAAGAGAGAGAGAGAGAGAGAGTGTGAGAGAGAGAGAGAGGGATAGAGAGAGAGAGAGAGAGAGAGAGAGAGAGAGAGAGGAGGGGGGTTACGAGAGAG